CTCCGGGCGCCGCTGTCGCTGCCCTGGACGCTGCTGGGGCCGGTAATTAGCGGCACAGCCCCGTCTGATCAACGTGCGCTTTGCTGGGCTCCGCTCGCCCTTCTGTTTTCCCCTCTCAAGGCTGTGAGGCCAGGCCTGGCTTGGGAGGAGGGTGAAACCGGCTGGAGAGAGCTGCAAAATCTGCCTCGGAGAGTGTTTCTCTCGCTTTGTTTGTTTATGTGCCTCCAGAAGGGAAACTCCTCCTGCCCTTGCTAAAAATCCCGTTGTCAGCGGTTGGTCTGGGTGCTGGAGGTTCCTGCAAGTCATCTTGTTGAATTTCGTGGGTTTGCATTTACATGTTTCTATTTTTTCTTTCGTTTAATTGGTAAGTCAACACTAAACACAGGACTGGAGCAATTGAGCTAGGAAAGTGACCTCTTCAAGGCAGCAGTGTTGGCCAAAAGTGGATTTGTGCCTGGAGTACAATTAACCCGTCTCTGATGCTGAGGAGAGAATTTGTGTTTATTCTGTGCAGGGTGCTTGGTGGATTTGCCACAAACCAAGCACAGCTGTAGCAAGCTTCACCACTTTTTTTAGGCACGTTTTACAACATCCTTATCATATTAATACCTCCCACCTGGTCTGGATTGGTTAGTGATTTACAGGTCAGTTACATCATTTTAAGTACTTCTGTGCGTGCTCAGGGGAAGGCTCTTCACCTGGACTAGGGTCTTCTTAACCTATGGGCGTGGTTCTTAGTACTATAACGAAGGCAGTTTGCTTCAGGATACCCTAAAAGTAAGTTTTGCTGCCAGTGGGATGGTTACCTGGCCAGGTTATCGCATAACTCATCCTATCTGCAGTGGTCAAGGCCTAGAGAATAGGGACTTGGAACAACACAATGTCTTATTCATTATTACCTCGTTAAGGCTGACATAAGCAATACTAACCTAAGCTAATTTCTCAGGTTAGGATGCCCTGGATCAGTAAAACTCTGAGCAAAACTATTAATAGCTGGACAAAGTTAAACTTGAAGGGAAAACTTTGATGTTCCTTCTTAGGCTTTCTCAGGTTTGGTGGGGTTTTTTGTGTGGGGTTTTTGTTCTGTTTTGTTTGTTTGTTTTCCCTTTAGAGTAAAGAGCAGTCGCAGTACCACAGGGTAAAACTTGGAGGCTACAGGCTGGGCATAACCAGCACTTGTGTCTGAGGCTGCCTGGAAATTCCATGTATGTGGAGCACAGAACAGGAACAAGCCAAACGTAATGCAGAGGACTGAATGAGATGAAAGGCTTCAGGTGACCTTGGCTTCACCGCTGAGCTAGTCACTGGGGGAAAAGGATGAGAAAACTACAAATTGGATGTTATGGTGCAATTTATAAGCTGACAATCGTAATTTGAGAGTGCAAATCCTCACTGTAAAATACTGGAAACAACCCAAAGACCCTTTATGTGCAGAGCAGCATGGCCAAGAGACGAAAAAAGGGGAGCAAGACTGGTAAAGCAATTTAACCTCTCTCTTTAGAGAAGCCTTGTCTGAACTTGCCATGTAGAACAGTTACTGTAATAGTTGTGAATGAGGCACATAGAGGAGTGTTGCTGCTCTTGGAGCTGGAGTCCAGCTCAGGCAGGGGGTGGGATTAGGCCTGTGAGGCTTTAGCTGCACATTTCCCTCCCAGGAGCTGTGTCCACCAGGTGGTGCTGGGCCACTGCTGAGTGCTCTCATGTTAGCAGAGACCTTGGCAGTGAACGAGCAGCTTTGCTCCTTTCCTTTCTTGCATTCCGTGGTGTCCCTGACAAAGGGAACTCAGATTGTTACAAGTGACTTCGCTCAGAAAGCTCTCAGTCTTTCTTTGGTGTGTAGATGAAATTAAACAGTATTTGGTCACTGTTTCTTCACCTTGCCAAACTCAATTGTTCCACAGTAAATGGTATTTCTCTGTCCTAAAGTTACAGCTGCAAAGAGCATGGTACCCCTCTGGCTAGAAACCTGCCTCGGTGAACCAGACTTGGCTTTGATGATCAGGAGGTTTGAGTGCTGTAATACAACACACCTGGAAGTAAAACTTGTGGCTTTGAAAGGCTTAGACTCATTTAAAATACAGCTGCCTGCCTACTAAGTGTCCTGGGCTCAAATGCTTAGTGTAGTGTGATTAAAAAGGACAGGTCACTGCATTGAGGTTGAGAACTAAGCTCATCAGAGGTCTCTTGCTGCTTTACCTTTCAGTATGAGGGGGTAGTGGAGCTATCAGCACTCCAGAAATGATCTTTATTTTCTGTCAGGCCTGGGGGACATCTAGTCATGCAAACGAATGCTGGTTCCACCACAGCCTTCTGCTTCTAATAGGGAAGTGTGGTTGAAGTTCAGCAAAGCCGACAACATAAACAACAAAATAAACTCTCTGAACAGTAATTTTTTGTTTCTGCAGTGTTTGGGGTTTTTTGGTTGTTTTTTTTTCTCTAATTTGCTTTTCTCAACACAGACTGAACAGCACCTACCAACAGTAAATCTCAGTTCTGGTTCCTGCAGGTTAAGAAAGCGTACCGGCAGAAGGCCCTGTCTTGTCACCCAGATAAGAACCCAGACAATCCCCGAGCAGGTAAGATGGGGCTGTGCAGACACAAACAACTCTTCATGTTTTCACATGTGCAGACTCCTGGAAGTGGCTCTGCTTAACTCCAGGTCTGTCTTTGCATGTGATTAAGGGGACACCTGGGTGCCTGTCGTGTGAAGTGTCCATATGCAGGACGAAGAGTTATTTTCATCATTGTTAGAGAGCTCTTTTTTTTTGAGGTTGAATGCATACATTTTGGTTTTAGAAACATCAGTGTTAACTCAGTGCTGAAATTTTATTTGCACCTCTCAAAATCTTCTCCCATGGTGCTCGAATCCCAGATCTTTGGCTGTGCTCTCCCTGTGGTTACTGGCTCATCACTATTTTCATTCATACTCTCACAGTCAAAGTTTCAACAGCAAGCTTATAAATCCTGTTATGTATGGATGGATAACGCCCATCTCTGTCTGTTAGAGACAAGACCCTGACTGTGGAACTGAGTATAGCTAAACTGTTATCTGGGTCTGGCTTCTGCAGCCACTCCATTTAAGTTTTGTAGCTGCAGATAGCAGTGAGCAGCAGCGGTGACTAGAAGGATGATGTTCATCAGGACACCTCAAAATAAACATTGTTCTGTATCCTGCATTTTGCAGTTTGATGGGCTACAGTCTTATAGGTTGAAAATATATAACTGTAGTACAGAGAAAATATTTCCACCATTTAAAAAAAAAAAAAATAGGAGCAGTGAGAGGAAAACTGGGGGCTTTGGTATCTGCAGAAGGCTGAGAAGTGATTTGAAGTGCGTGGGGAGGCCTCCAGCTTACATAGGTAACCTTCCAGGAACAGGGTCAGCAATATTGATGTAAAATGAAAAGCTCTGGGTGTGAAAAGGGGAATTTGTAAGTGTATTTCAGACTGACTGCAGGCTGAGTGATGCGTTGCTGCAGATGGGTTCTGCTGAATTCACGTCTTCAAGATTTCTGTTCAAATGAATGTCCCAGTTTTTGTTTCTTAATTTACACTGAAGTTTATGTAACAAATGTTGTCCTTTGAGTTGAGGTGATCCTGGTTATGGGTTGGTTTACAAATGCTTTGGAAAGATTATTCTTCTTTCTGATGTTCTGCAGGTCTCTTCCATAAGGGATTGTCTTTTCTGCTTCACCTCCAGGCCGCTAGCATGGTTTTCTGCATCTTACCCTTTTTTCTTCTAATTCCCAGCGGAAATCTTCCACCAGCTGTCTCAGGCCTTAGCCGTGCTGACAGATGCAGCAGCGAGGGTAAGGATGCCCGTCCCGTGGTGCTGTTGGGGCTGTGTGCTGTTGTGACGTTGAAGCGTGCTGGGGAAGCATTGGAAACTCTTCCTGTCTGTATCGCTCTCTTCCCCAGTTGTGACTTCTTGAATGCCAGTCTCATCCATTGTTATTCCCTGTAGTTTTCTGTGAGATCAAGGATAAGAACTTGGACAACTGTTCTTTTTCTGCTTTAATGTGCTGAGAGTAGCTCTGTCCGTTTGCTGCAAGGTGACAGACCATCTTTAATAACTTGTTAGACTGGGGCATCTCTCATTTAAAAAAATAAATTACAACCACCCCTGATTCGGGGACACATTAAATTCCCGTGACAACGGTACATTTGCAGTTGCCTTGAAGTCAAGGTCTGACAAATAAATAATATCCAGAAGTGATTGGTGAGGCTCAAAGCTTTTCTTTCCATGGGGCACAGGAGACTTGTAAACAGAAAAGCTGAATCATTGTCACAGTCCCTGCCCTTTTGCTGCGAGAGTTTTGCAGGCTGCCAGATGTAGCTTGGACTCTTTTCTTGCTGTGAGGAGGTGATTGAATGGCTACTGCTCAAGGCCTGAAAGTAATCTGGACATGTGAAGGGAAAGAATAAAAACAAAATTAAAAAGAGCAGGTAACTCTGTCCAGAGAAGCTTGGGAGAGCAGACATATTAAAATTTCAGATGATAAGATTTAAAAACATGAAATAACTCTCCTCTTTTCAAAGACTGGCAAAGCTTGTAATCTCCCCTCCAAGGGGCAATTAAGCTTTTGGCATCTAAGAACTTTTTTGGCTTCTACATTTTAAAAAGGAAGAGGCATTTAGCAAGCCCTTCCCTTGCAGGAAGGAAAAATACCAGCTTTTCTAGTCTCTAGCACAAGAGCAGCACTTTCCTGTACAACTGTTCTGCAAGTAATATTTGTGCAGGTCTGTGCTTTACCTACGACAGAAGGGTTCTGTGTGACTTGGTGAACAGATTATCAACTGGTTTAAACGGGGGGCAATGAAAATGCCAGTTTACCTCAGCTCTTAAATCTCTGTAGTGCTAAATGATTGTTGATGTGTTATTTCTGCTGAAAAGTTCTGATGCTCTTTGATCTAATATGCTCATGAGTCAAGTATCTGTCTTGTGAATAAATCTTTCATATAAAATAGACCCTTTTAATTGTAAAACTTGGCTCTAAACTAAACCTGATCTGTTACCAGTGCCCCTAAAGCTACTTTGGCATGTTCAGGGAACCAAAATATTCTTCCCACCTCTGAAGGTGGGTCACACTCTCCAGTACGCTTTGCGATTATTCCTGGACTTCCTCACCCTTTCAGGCTCCATCTGGAGATCCTTGGGCCTCTTCTCACGTTTTCAGGAACTTTGTGTTATCTTCCAACGCTTTTAGGAGGAATTCTAACAAGAAGCAGAAAATGCTTCACCTCTGCTTACAGTGTTTCAGTTTCTGATCTCGCCTTTATTCGCTGCTTTCCATTTTATCTCGTCTGCTTTATGCAGTTTCATGCTGTTGTGTTGGTTCTTTGACAGGCGGCGTATGACAAAGTGAGAAAGGCTAAGAAGCAGGCTGCAGAGAGGACACAGAAACTTGATGAGAAAAGGAAGAAAGTAAAGCTTGGTAATAAAATCAAAACTTCACTTTCTCTTGGCTTGAAGTCTTCATTAGCTGGGTGTTTGCATTTCTGCTACCGCTGGGATTCACCATGGATTGATCTGCTGCCCTTTTGTGCTGGCTGTGGTTTCTTTGTGCCCAGTACAAGGTAGTAACCATGTGAAATCTCCTCCCACAGCCATAGCTGGGGGTGGTCCTGCTCTGGGAAGGAGTTGGGGGTTTTGATGGCTGTTAAGGCTGCTGATACAGCGTTGTGCCTGGGCAGAGGAGATGTAGCAGAGCTATCTGGACTCTGCTTTGAAATTGGTGTAGATGTAGCCAAGTTTGTCATCTTCCCATCCACCTCTGCTCAGCAGTGAAAATTCTCTTGGGTTTGTTTTAATTTTGTTTCTTTCTCTGCAGATCTTGAAGCCAGAGAACGAGAAGCCCAGACCCATGAAAGTGAAGAGGAGGAGATCAGGATAACGAGATCATTAGAACAAGAGGTAATGATAAATTATGAGATTTCTCTGCTGCTTTTGAGAAGAATTGCTGGAAGTCTTTGCAACCATAATGCAAACCGTGTGATGAGATGTAGCAAATCTATAGCAGTCTGTCAGCCTTTGGGATTAATGAGTTCTGTGAAACAGAGGCATGTAGAAGGGATCTTGTGGCAGTCTGGCAAATGTCAGTCTCAGGGGTTTATTTTTTCCTCCCCTTTTCCTTTTGCATAGCAGACAATAAGAGCTCATTGGTTATATGCTGGCTGGTAGTGGCTGTGTCACTACGAACATGAGGGGTCTGGTTTTATGAGCACTGGAGCTGGCACAGGGGAACTAGCAGGAGGGTTGCCCCAGGAGATGGGTATAAGACAGAATCTCTCCTTGGCAGTCTTTAGCTGGCATGGAACTGTCCCCTCCGATATCCGTACTGTCTCACCTCTGCCACAGATCATACGCCTGCGTGAAGAAGGCTCCCGTCAGCTTGAGGAGCAGCAGAGACTCATCCGAGAACAGATCCGGCTTGAGAGAGAGCAGCGTGTCCAAGGTGAGAGCAGATGAGACTGGAGCCCTCAGCCCAACTACGTGCACATGGGACTCCAGCTCTTCTCTAGGCAGAGCTGACGTACAGATGCAGCCTGCTGACTTGGTCCCGTTGCCATGTATAATAGGATCCGACTTGGCACCTTTTCCAGGGATAAGTTAAGACTGGTATTTCTGTGGGGTCGCTTTCTTATACGTGTCCTGCTGCTCTTTAACATGTTGCTGCTGCTCCTTTTCTATAAATGTTCTAAAGCACTGAACCTGGAGCCTCACAGTTAGGCTGGAGGGAGCCTCAAGTCCTGCTCATCTGTCACAATGAAAGCAGTCAGTGTTGCAGACTCAAAATAGGGAATGATTCAAGTTTGCAAAGAGCAGCAGTTGTCATTGGGTTACTGCTTCTATTTCCCCTTGGAAATTCTCAGTACTTATCACCCTGAAGAGGCTCAGTGTGGAGAATAAAGTTTTGTTTAGTTTATGGTTGCTGAGGCTTTACTTTCTGGAACTGGATTCTCTCGTGTTCCTTGGCCATACACAGTCTTCACCCCAGGTTTGTGCAAAGACCAGCCACAAATCTGTCAGGAAATGAGCGACGTACTGAGCTGGAGAACATCTGCATCCTGTGCTGCTGTACAACAATAGGTAGTTACCGTGTTTGAAGTTCTCTCCCTCTGATTCCCATGGGCTGTTCAGTAGGCTCCTTCATATTGGAGGGGATGAGATTTTTCCAGAATCCCAGAACCTCATCCTTTGATATTCCTGAACCTCATTCCCATCCACATGTCTCTCTATTGAACTGCTTTTAAAATATTCTGTACCTGTGTGAGCTTAAAATACAGCTTTATGTTTCAGAAAGTTCTGTTCTTCTGAAAACTAAGTAGAGTGCTGTTCAGGGTTCAGTCCAATGGGAAGATTTATTGTCTCTTGCTTCTTACCTCTTTCATTCTGGCAGGGGCTATGGTATGAGGTCTGTTATTTTCTCACAGGAAAAAATATTAATGAGTTAAAAAAAAGCGCAACCAAATTTAAAAAAAACCAAACCAAAACCAACCACCAGAGGTCCAGATGCAGAAACTCTTTTTGGGGTCACTGGGAGTTTCCTGTATGACTGTAAGTCATTCATCCCACCCTTTCTTAACTTAATTTCACATATCAGGAGTTGGGAAGAATATTGAGCATTTGTTTAATGAGATCCTTTGAGATCCTTGCAATGAGAGCACAACATTATGATGTATTTACTTGCAGGGCCAGATTAAATTATTAGGTTATGCTATCCTTTTGGCTTTTTGTCTGCCCTTAATTTTTCTACACTTGTTCCCACCAGCACAACCCTCTTGCAGGGAAAAATGTCACAGGATGTACCAGGTCTCCTGGCTGTATCTTTCCTTTGCTGTTTCTAGCCTTGATGGTGGCAAGTCTGGGCATCATAGCAGGGAAAAACACTGATGCCCACTATTCACCCATATCCTCTCCACCTTTTTTTCTTTCCCCTCTTTAGACAAGGAAGAAAGAAATGGAGCAGAAGGCAAAATAACTCCCAAACTCAAAGTAAGACATCCTTATAAAGCTGGGTTTTGGTGAAAACTGCTAGAACGTTACACAGCCTTGGAAAATGGAAGGGATGCTCCAACTCTGCTGAACTGGCATGACCCTTTGTACAGTGGAGGTGAAGTTCCACTCCTGTCACTGTCTTTAAAATACCCTTCCTTCCTCACCCTTTTCTCTACTGTCTGGTCTCAATTTTTGGGCCTGAAATGGAGTTGTCTCTGTTTTAGGCACAGGAAAACATCTGCTTATTACCCTGATATAGCCATTAGTGTGCTTTCAAGTGTTCTCTTTTTTTATTTCAGTGAGCAGTGTTTCTCCCTGTTCCCCAAATAATTTGTTCCCTTTGCACATTCTGATGTTGAAATCACTGTCTTGGCAATTCTGGGAGTGTGGCTGTAAATAGCAAACTTGATTGTTGTGCAGGTGGCAGGAGCTGCGTTGAATGTGGCAACACGTGTTGGAATGGACAGAATTGACTTGTCATATTTATTTCCCAGCTGAGATGGAAATGTGGGAAAGAAGATGAGACGAGAGGGGGATACTCAAAAGATGTTCTGCTGCAGATCCTACAAAAGGTCCTGTCTGACACTCTTTCCTACTGCTTGATCTACCCCTGCTCTCAGTGGATAGTGGGATAGAAAGGATAGTAAATTCTGGGAAGCTGCATATAAACCAGTGACTCTTGGTTTCTTCCTCTGTTGTCCAGTTTTCTCTCTCAGGCCATTTTCAGAGCCCAGCAGCATGATCCATTAGCTGTGAACGGTTCCCCAGCCCGCACCTCTGTCTCATTCCCAGAGGGGAAAAAAAAAAAAACAGAGCAATTGCAAACTCTTCCCACTAAATGATTCGTGCCCTGTGTAAAAGTTAGACTGGCTGTGTGGTTATGGTGCACGTTTGCCTTCACTTCAAGTGCTCTACATTAGCTGCTGTGGGAAGTTCAGAGACAGGAACAGACAAGCCTTTGATCTGATTAATCCCAGTGTGTGGTCTTTATTTTCCCTTCATGCAAGTGTCTCCTGTAGCTCTGAGGTGAGCAACCCTCTTGCACCAGGGCTTGCTAAAAGCTCCATGCTTCCCCAGAATTATTTCCTGGAGGGACAGAAATTATGGCAGGTTGGGATCAGTAGAAGTATCATCCAAGACAGAAAGGGTGACAGCTAAAGCTTCGCGTCTGTGAAAACACGTTGTCTCTGTGTTCGTTCCATAGATGAACTTGACTTCTCCTCTGGGTCTGTAATTAACTTTTCTCTCTCCTTTTGTCTCAACAGTACGGCGATGTGCTCAATTTGTTGATCTCCAGTAGGAAGACTGGGAGTGCAGTCGTGGAATTTGCTACGGTTAAAGCCGCTGTAAGTCTGGCAGAGACCCCAGATGTGTGTAGTGGAGAGTGGGCAGGAAGGGGTGTTGCAGAAGGGAAGGGTTAGCAAACTGACAGCCTAGAAACGCTGCCTTGTCATTAAGGCAGTGGAGAAGGGTAATGAGAGTCTAAAGGTACAGATGCATGAAGGGAGTGGCAAAGCTGGAGGCACAAACCCAGAGCAGATCATGCACATAAACAATGAGGCTGTGCATGTCAAAGGCTAAGGAAAGAGACACTGCTTTAAAAAGCAGGCTCTGAGCCATTTCATCAGCTCTCACTGAAGGTGAATTACCCATTGTGGAGATGGCTAAAGGAGCTTTAGAGGTTGTCTGGCATTTGTAGTTTAAAAGAAATCAAAACTTCTTGACTCACTGTGAGTTATAGTAATTCATGTGGCTGTGGAAAGAGAACTCATCAGTAACCCTTAATTTTAGTAGTTCCTTCAACTTAAACTTACACTGTACAAGAGTCTCTATTCCTTGTCACTTCTTTCCCTCATATATCCAAATAATTTTAAAAACCCCCTGAATTTTCTGTAACTCCTCAGAAGTACTGTCAGTGACATGTGCTGTCTATGCTTGGTGCAGATATGGACCTTAAAGGTGCCTCTCACGTAGGGCAACCACGAAATCTTCATTGTTTGTGTCCTACTTGGCCTTGATGCCAGGCTGAGATGGAAAAACTTCTGTGACTGTTGGTGACCTGAGGGTGTGGGGTCTGAAATTCAGATGGTGATGGAAGAATATTTTCATTGGTAGGAGATGGCTGTGAAGAATGAAGTTGGCCTGATAAATAATCCTCTAAAGATTTCGTGGCTGGAGGGCCAGCCCCAGAACAATCCCAGCACTGTCCTTTCTGACAGCAGTAGTCAGCCTAGGACTTCACAGGTAAGGAGACACAGGCTGCTGTTATTTAAATGTGTTTCTAGAGCAACCTAAATGGAATAGTGTGCTTTGCATGTATGGTAAGATACGTTGATTCCCAGCAGAACTGAAAAGAAGCTCTAAATGAAAGGCCTGCCTTCCTGATGAGCCTTTTTGTGCTGAAGCAGTGGCTTTTCTAAAGGACCTTTTGCCTGAGTAGCAGCTCACTGAGAACACAAGGTATTTGGGTGACTGGATCTTCACACAATCTCACTCTCTCTAACAAGTGAAAACCAAGGATGTTCCTTGCTCAGCCCAAAGCCTCTAGTTCTAGTCTTCTGGAATTTTTTCTAATGTACTTTGACTGTGGGAGTCCTCTGGCTCATAGCTGTTTGAAATGGGTCTCCTAGAAGGTTTTTGTAGAGAGGCTTAGTTATTGCATTCACAAGAGAATGAAGTTTCAGTGCTGCAAGGAAACCTATATTCTTAGGGTCTGCAGAAGGGAAGAGAAAGCAATATCAAATTAAATATCCTTGTACAGACCTTATTGCCTGTTTTGGGTCCTCTTTACCAGTGTGGTTACTTTGAGTGCAAGGTGTTTGTTAACTCTTAGCTGCTTCCTGTTTATTTCACCAGATAATCCCTCTGAAGCTGTTGCTCTTGAATAGCAAATGTATTCCAATCACAAAACACATGGAAGCAATAACATCTAGTGGTTTAAAACAGAGAAACCAGTCTGAGGCCATACTGCAGCCAGTTGTTGGCTCTCCATTACCCCTTGCTCCTGCTGGAGCTCTGCAGTGGGGGATGTATCTGCTTCTGAAGAAGATTACACTACGCTTTGCTCTATAGCACAGAATTTATCTTGTGCTCACCATGTCTTCTGATCTAGTTGGTAATTCCTTAGCTGTGAAGGTGTGAAAGGACCTGAGATTCTTTGCTGATTGAGTTCCAGTTCAAACTTCACCTGACACTTATTTCCCTCTCTGTCTTCCCTGTGGTATAAAGATCAAAGAGATCTAATTGCTGAGAGGACTCCTGCCTCATGCTGTTCAGGTGCCCTTAGTCTGTGTCCCCATCAGCCTTGTTTGTGTTCACCACCTAAATGTTTTAGCCACTTGTGAGGTTGTTCAGTGTAGTCACTCTCCTGACTTTTTGTTAAGTATTTTTATAGTAGAAGCATTTATACATCAGAATGCCTTGTTGCTATCCTAGTTCTGCTTAGGGTTGTACGTTTTCACTGGGGATATGTGTTTTTTGTCTGAGCAGCAAAGTTTCCCAGAAATCTCAGGGAAAGGCAGTTAGAGAATCACAGCCCAGGAGTCAGGCAGATCTCCATGCACAATGTAGAAGCAGTGAGAGTCCTGCAGGCACAGCAGATTCACAGAGGTGGGCAGAGTGTTAGAAGGCAAATTGGGGAAAAAAACAGAATCTAACCTGTTTTATTTGAGTATCCCTCACAAGGAGAGAATGAGAACTGGTTCTGAAGTGCTCCTTCATACCTAAGGGTGCAGCTGGAGCTCGGTGGTGGATTCTTGCCTCTGTGGGTTCAAAAGCTCTGGCTTTTGAGGGTGTTTATCTTGCCTTGTTTCTATGGCCAAAGCTTGTTAGTGTGGAACTGCAGTGTCTGCCTGCTGTGAAGGATTAGCTTGGTGGAGCAGCAAGGGAGGGCAGGCTAAAGCAGCCAGTGGTGTTCCTGCTGTGTGGAGGTGGTGACTCACCTGTGTCCAACACAGCCTTGTCTATCCCATATTAGCTCTCGAATGGTGAGGAGTTATGGCCAGTGACTTGCATCCTTTCCCAAGAATTGCACTACTGATGCTTGCCTGTCCTTTCTACTGCCTTTATGTGGAAGCAGTTGCAATTGCTTTGATTGCATTGCAGTCTTACTGTCCAGGCTAAGATCTCCAAGCTACTCTGGTTACCACTTTCCCTAGTTCCTACTCCAGACCCTCCCCAAATCCTGCTGCTGCTTCCTCTAGGATGCTTCCAAAATCTGTGATGTGGTAATGTCTTCTCTCAACTTATGCTTTGTCCTCAGCTCTTCAGCTCTAGACTATGCAAAAGGAGCTCTTTCAGCTGTCTTTTGCCACTGCCTCAACCTGCTCCCTGCCTCATCCCTTCATATCCAGTCTGGCTTCCCAGCCATCAGGCTCCACATTCTTGCTTTCAAGCTGCACTAATCTCATTCTGGTTTAAGCTGCACTCACTTCCTATTTGCTGCTCCCTCTGAATTGCTCCTATTTCTGTCTGAATCCACCCCCATGTTTGCTCTCACTCTGCGAATGCAGCTCCTTCCCTGCTCCTCTTCAGAAAACAGCCAAAGACCTGCGGCGTTCTCATGGCAACACACTCACTGCTCATCCCCTTCAGAGCTGTGTCTGCTCCCTGCCTGGGGTCATCAGCCAGGAGCTGTGCACCAAAGCCTTCAAAGGACAGCCACACAGTAACCAGACCAGGGCAGCTTTGGCAGCAGTTCCCAGGTGAAAGCAAGGCTAACTGTTGAAAAGTTGTGCTGTGAGGAGGCAGTGAGTTGCAAGACACTTGCCTCTGCAGTCTTGGGTGGCTTGTTTTCTTCTACAGCAATGGGTGCCCATTGTCCAGCAGTTCCTGAAGAGCTGCTGAAGCCAAACAGGTGAGTTATACTTGAATTGCAAAAGCCAGTGTTACTCTAGGCTATTTGTGAGCAATGACTCTTTGATTGCTGCAGCTCTGAATGGTTCACAGCACGCAACAGCTGTACAGTGCTGTGCAGAGTGTGTTTTGCCACTACGACAGCGTGAAGCACTCGCTTCTGGGAAGGTCTTCTATGCACCTTCAGTCGTGGGACCTCTGTGCCAGTGCTCCTCATTCACTTTGGGCCATTCATTCAGCCCTACTGAAGTGCTGAGAAAACCCCTCTGTCTGGCACTCCTGCATCTTTTCTAAGCTCCTTTGAGGTTTCCTGGAGTTTGTTTCCTATTATCATATTACAGCCTGATGTGAATCTGGTAGGTTAAGGACTGTCTGTGCCTCCTCTGAAATGTCTCACTTTGCTGTAGCTGCCTTCCAAAGCTTGTGGTTATCTGGGTGTGTAGAAGTTTTATTTTAATTTTTCAAAAAGAACCCTAGTATCTAATCTAGGTATGAAAAAGGTAAAAATTGGTCACCCAGTAGTTTCTGCAGTGTCCTTCTAACAGTTTGCCCTGATACTCCCTAAAATATTCTCAGCCTGGCAGAGCCCTTCCCACCAGCCAGCTCACGGGGTGAAGAGCTGTTCATTTCAACGCTGGGTCTTGACCTGAGCTGTGTGCACTCTCCTCAGGGGAAGATAAAGCAGCAGCAGCTCTAGCCTTCTCCCAGCCCAGAGGAGCAGAGCCACACTGCTTCCCCACCCTCAGAAAAGCGTGGAGTGCCAGAGAGGATAGATCTTGGTCCCTGCAGAGAAGGGACCTGTGCTCTTGGTGCCTGGGCTTTTTCTGGCTTGCTACCAATGAAATGAGGCAACAAGACACTTCTAGTCACAGATACATTTATTCTTCCATATCTGTACAGCTGATTGATCAGTGCATGCTTCAAGCAGCAGTTATCTGGAGGAAGTTCTTCTCCTGCTAGTAGGATAAATAAACTGCTGTTGCTGTATTACGAGCCTACATGGATGCTTACCTGTTTCCAGGCTGGAAGTGCCAACTGCACTTGAGTTAGGGGAAAAGAAACCCAAAAAAAACCCCAAAAAAACCCCCAAAGAACAGCTTTGATTTTTCACATCCAAACATGGTGGGAGAAGAAACATGAGTTTCTGTCTCTTGACCCTTGCCATAGCTATGGCTTTGTGATGCAGTGCTGCTGTCTCCTTGCAGGCTGCCTGCTTATCCACAAATGCTGTATGCTGTATCCCTTTCTGTCCGTGTTCCGCAGCGTCACAGCCACATCCCCAAAATAACAAGTCTTTTGCCAAACAATGCCATTCTTCCATGAGGAGGAGATGCAGAGTCACAAGTGGGAAATTCCCAGGGTGGAGAATGGAAACTTGGCCATGAGGTTCCAGCAGACAGTGCTCTCATCTGAGCACGGAGCCTGCGAGCTCTGCTCCGAAGGTCTCCTTGGCAAGGACAAGGACAGTCTGTGGTGGGTGAGATGAGAACAGAACAGGCCACACACAACGGGAATGCTGCAGTATCCTTCCTCCTGCTAGGACTAGAGAAACTGGCAGCAGCAGTAAGTACATGTGCTATGTTAAATGATAAATACCTTCAAATGGCGTAATCTCTTGGGTTCTGTTTCCTGAGGGTCTGGAGAACATCCTCAAGAAGCGAGAGCCCCAAATCCACTTTGAAGGACAGGAAGGGGTCAGACAGGTCAGACAGAGTGGTGCCATTCTGGGAACCTGTCTCTGAGGTCCCGTGGTCTGTAGCCTGGTCCTTGTGGAATTGAGTTTGAGTGGCTTTGTGGTATTGATGAGTAGCACTAGAAAAGGAGATGTCAGAATGTGAATCTGTGTGATCGATGATGTTAGGGCAGCTGGAACTGTCCAGGTAGAGCCGGGGAGGCTTGGGAGGTGCCTGTGCCTTGGCTAGGTTTTGCTCACTCTGACAGGACAGGTAGTCAGACTTGTCCTTCAGATCCCTCAAGCATTCCCTCTTCTGGCACTGTCCATCACTGTCCAGAGTGTGGCTGTTCTGATTCAAGATGATGACTTGGTTGCCCAGCTTTTTGTGTCTCCTGAGTGAGAAACGCCTGAAGAACGTTGTGGACTTAATGGACCCTCTCCGCCAAGTATCCATGCTGATGAAAGGCAACGAGAAGGAGGAAACTGCTGAGTCTTCACAGTCAGGTGTTGGACTGATGTTGCAGGATCAGCAGCAAGCCACACAACAGGAACAACCTCTTCCTTCCCAGTTCCTGTAGCTGGAAGGAAAACAGAGAGGCTGGTATTGCAGGAAATGCAAACTTCACACTATGTCCCCGTGTTAAAGAGCAATTGGCCTGTCTTGGATATTAAGGAGTCTCCTTCTTCAGGGGAGAAGGAATGGCAATGTCTGAGCTTGTTCAATCTGTGCTGCAGAAAGAAGCTGATGAAGAACAGTAAAGGCACACAGTCACCATGAGAACAGATTCCATCTAGAACAGAAGGGCACTTTGGTACCATGGTAACCAACCACCTTCATGGTGAAGGGCACAGTATAAAAATCTCAGTGGGTGGTTAGGAAGGGAGACGGTGACTCAGTCCCACTGAAGGAAACCAGAGAAATACAGTCAAATGGAAATCTAAAAAGCAACAAAAGTCGGATGTGAAAGACAAACGTTAGGAAAATTGAATGCAAAGTCGACTTACGCTGTGTTGGAGCAGCACCTGAGTCCAGCAGGCAGAGAGGAGGAACTGTGGAGCACTCGGAGAACCGTGACCACCACCTTCACTGGGGCGCTGGGACGTTGGAAGAAGCAAGTCCAGGGACGATTCAGCCAGGTTGGACCCGGAGTGCTAGAAATCCCCAATGCCTCCTTCTCTTCATGTGCCTCCTGTCACTGCTTCCCCGGCTGCAGTTCCTTGCGCGTATGTATTTGTTTTGAGCCAAGCCCTTGCTGAGTCAGCCACGTCAGGAACTGGGTTCTACACGATTGGTAATTGCCAGGATTGCAGGAAGTAGGTGTGTAGAGCAGCAAAGCACCAGCCCACACTCTGCCTGCGGAGCAAGCAGCTCCCTCAGAGGCACCCCGACTGCTGGAGAACTCTCAGCCCGAACACCGACTCGTAGCCCATCTTGAGTCAGACTCTGTCTTCTCCTGGTGCTCTCCCTTCTGCCACTTGTGATGGCTTGTTGTGTCAGCAGGGCTCCCAAATGAGGCCGGAAATAATCTCTTGCCTGTTTTAAATTTAAATCCAGAGTGTGAGGTAGTGATTCAGGTTTGTATGGGTGATTCATCTGCATGAGTCTCATCTAGGCTATTTCATTCCAACGAGCAGATGACAGTAAGTATCTGTGGTTAGTGGACAGGAGCTTTGAAGAAGCCTAGTTCTGCTGCTGAAGGCTGATACAATCTGGTGCTTCCTCAGACGCTGAAAATCTGTCCTGCAAGTACTGAAAGGTTATTTCATTCATGCAGCTCCTAAAATACCAATTATGGCGTATTAGTCTCTTAATTTCCTGGTCTGAGTTTCTCATCTGTTGTGGGCTTCTAGTTTGTCCTCACAGCTAGAGGCTGCCGTTGGAGGAACCACTTTGCTGGCACGTGATAACAAATTTGCACTTGCCCCATTTTCATGCAGAATCTTACTTAGCTATTCTATTGCTTGTTCATCCCTTCTGTGTTCTATTTAAGATGTCCTGAAATCACTACTAAGTCTTGTTCCCAGAAAAATGACTGCAAGGTTTATTTTTTCTTCACCTTCTGTCAAGATGCTTTTGTTTCTACCTGAACTGTCAAGCAAATGAGGTGGCTGTTTCCAAGCATTGCAGTGCTTTGATACATCTGAAATAGTGAGGCCACCTACTAGTGTTAAATGGCTTTGGAAAGCAGAGTGCCAACACCACCCCTTTGCTCTGCGACAGCAGCTCTCAGCTGCTGCCTACGTTCATTAGGTAGAGTCTGCAGTCACCGCGTAGTTGACGTGACAGTTGCTACCACACATAGCAGAAAGGCTCCAAGAGCTTTTGAGAACTGAAACGCTCTTTTATCAGGTCTGGGAACGTACCTGGTGGTTTCTCACTGCAGTCACTTCCATGACTAAACCACAGAAAGGTTGGATTTGGGGGGTTTTTTATGGCATGAGCCTTTGTAACGGATGAAGCATACGCTGGACTTTGTGCTCCAGTGTTGTACTTGCAGAGTGATCTTGTCATCCAGAATAACCCTCCACAGCCAGGCGAGCTGTGCCTCCCCATCCAACCTCCTTGTGAGCAGGGAGCAGCAGGAGGGCAGTCCAGGCTCCCTGCCTGTCCCGCTCCGTGTCTCCTCACTCACCCTGTCACAAAGCTGGCTGTTTCTCTAGGCCAGGCAGCTTTCACACCATACCTCATTTCTCTGGGGTTGTCCTGCTGTGAGGCACCTTCCTGACTGGAACGTGCACGTTATGATTGTGGTTTATGGAGAAGAGGGCCTGGGGTACGTGCTGTCCCTGACAGGTTGTGTTTGCTTTGTGCTCGCAGGCATCGGTGGTATCGGAGCGGGATTACGAGAGCCTGGTGATGATGCGGATGCGCCAAGCAGCAGAGAGGCAGCAGCTCATTGAACAGCTCCAGCGGGAGGACGAGGAGGAGTCTCACACCTAGCAGGAGAGAGTATGGATTCTTCCCACCCCATCATTCTTCATTTCTAAAGCTGTTTCTTAAATTAAGTCAATAAACCTCCTTTTTTTAAAAAACTGCTGTAGGAATGCAAACTCTCTGTGCCTGCAGCCCTTATCCCTTCAGAGAGCAGGGGAAAAAATGGCTGCGTAAGCTTCAAAGTAAGTGTATGAACCTGTCAGTCTGTGTAGTCAGAGCCTAAGACAGGGGGTGAGAGGTGCCATCAGAACACCAAACCTTGGAGCTTCTTTTTATTCCTGAAAACTTGTTCAGGGGCTGTAGATCCAGAAGGCTTTGTCAACAACCGTTTAAAACAACCCACAGAAAGACATTGGTCTCTTTAGAGAAATGTTTTATTGGTGTTTATTGGATCGATACAGTCCCAAACAAGCCAGTGGTAAGATTTTACAGAGCTCATACCTGAAGTGCTCACAAGACCTTTCTGAGGATGTTTTAGGAACGATGTGTTACGCTTGCATGGCTCGTTAAGAGAAATGTTTGATGATGCTGCTGCCCACAATCCAATCTGGGAGAGAAACTTGCCTTGCTGCCGAGTGAAGGGGCTCTCAAAGAGCACGGTGTAGGTTTGGCAGTTCCCTGTACATCTCGGGGGTGAGACAGGATGGTGTCTGTTCCCCCCCCATGGCCAGGGAGAAGGCATGCCCTGAGCTCCGGGCTCAGCGCGTACCTCTCTGGGGCAGCCCCGAGGAACAGGCAGACGAGTCTCGTATTTGAGCTTCCTCCAATGCATGCTAAAGAGGAGATGATTAACGTGTAAAAAGATGGTATTTGCCAGGCTGCCAGTCAGATGAACGCGGAGATGCAGCCATCTGTTCTCTGAGCATGATTTCATCTGCACTGGGCCTGCCTTCCTCCCCCCGGTCTTGTGAATGGGCAGGGACGGCAAGTTTATGTTGGGTCAAGTTTTACCTCAATACCAACCCCTCCCCCCCCACGCCTGAGCGCCTGGAATCTGGGACAGAAAGGAATTAAGGGGAAAGGTTTGCTGTCGGTCCTGGGTGAGATGATCCCAGCAGGGTCTTGTCCAGGTGGAACACCAAAGTCTTCCTCGCTATTCCTTGTGGAGGCACCACACCAAGGTCTGGCCCACGCCCGTCATGCTCACCACGCGGTAACCACAGCTCTCCAGCTTGTTCAGGACTATCCGCGGTGCGTCATTCACGTAGTACTCCCAGCTGCAAGCAGGAAAGAGAAGAAACAGAATGAGGTGGAGAAGGAAGAGACAAGAATTTCCTTGTGGAAGTGACTCTGCCTCGCTGCTAAACCCACGTAAGATACTGCAAGGACCACGTCTGGCACACGCTATGTGACATGGTGACTCAGGTGGGGAAGACCAAACCCAGGAGGAAGCCTGTCCGGAATGGAAGGGTCGCGTTAAACCCAAGTGTGGTTTGGTTGTCCATGTGCTGCTTGGTTCACTGGGCTGAAGCTGTAGCAGAGAGGGGTCATGGGTGTTCACAGCTGGGAACTCGTGGAAAAGGAGGATAATCTGTCTGCAAAGCCAGAAAGAATGATTCGGTGTCTCTAAGGAATGAAAAGCCCGTGGTTTGCCTGTGTCACAGCCTGCCTGTAAGTTGAATATTTCTGGGAGCCTGTGCTTGAAATTTGCGGATTGGAAAAAACCGCCGCCTTCAGCCAAGTATCAAACCTGTGAAAAACCAGAAGTCATCAGTTGCCAACAGAGCTGCCAAATGAGGTGGAGCACAAGTTCCCCTCAACCCCGCAATTCCGAGGAGTTACAGGCTGTGGGTGTTGAGCTGACACTTGGGATCTTTCTCCAGCCTTTATCCCTCCGGGGTTTCCTCTGGCTCTGTGCGTTTGGGGCAGAAGCCGTCCTTCCCTCCGCACTTCCCTGGGGCTGCTCCTCTGCAGAAGTCCTGAGGGCTGTGAGACCGCTCCCCCCCCCAAAAAAGTGTGATTGCAGGGTGGGAGAGCAGCAGAATACAGACCCAAAATGGGCTCAGTGAGGTGGGAGAGCAGCAGAATACAGACCCAAAATGGGCTCAGTGAGGTGGGAGAGCAGCAGAATACAGACCCAAAATGGGCTCAGTGAGGTGGGGAACCAGCAGAGCTGAAATGGTGAGAGGAGCCTTCAGCGTTGGCTCTGGCAGCCGCTCTGTTCCTGTACCACAGTCCTTCTGGATGCAGTTATTTGTTCCTGCAGATGGGTAAGTGCAGCTCTCGATGACTCACTGTGCCAGATAAGCTGATAATGATGGGCTGCGGGATCATTTGGGATCTGGTTTGGGCACCTTCACAAAGACTCCCCTGATTTTCATGCTAATAATAAAAAAAAGACCCAAAAGCATTTCCAAAGTTGCTCTTGAGAAGATTGCGAAACATTAATGGAGTGGCGAGTGCTTTTAAGGCATGAAATAACACCAAGATGTGAAAGCTTTTCTCAGTTTCTCAAGACAGACTATACTTTGCTGTAATTATAGATGTGGTGTAAAGATAATATGTATTATTATAAGTGTCTTTGAACTGAATGCTTTCTCTAAGAGGCTTGCCACATACCCTTCAGATTCACACGCTGGGAGGTGGTAAATATTATTGCCATTATGCAGAGGAAGGAGCCGAGGCCGGGATCGTGTTTGTTATTTGTAGGAACCTAAAAACCTGAGCAGCTGAGCTAAAAGCAGGAGGGAAGGAAGGTGAGTTGCCCAGGGCTCTACACACAACTCCGTGCTGAGCGAAACAAAAGATGGCACACGGCGCAAATCAAATGTGCCGCCGGTCTGAATCGGGATGGAGCGGCTGTGAACATTTGCAAAGGCTCCCCTCCAGGCCAAGTGCCAGCAGGGAACAGGAAAGTCACCCGAGATGGGGGAGGACTGTCACCCTGCACATCCTGACACCCATGACCTGCCTCCCAGACGTGCCAAAGCCAGCGTGCCCAGATGAGCGTGCACAGGGACGGGATCGAGCCGGGGCAGGAGCATCCCTGGCACACAGGTATTTCAGTGATGGAGCAGATGT